TTTCCATCAATTTCTGCAGAATAATTACGCCTTTTTGTTTACTTTCAGCACCAAAAACTTTCAAATTGTTGCATTCAAAACATCTATACATTTTTTTTTTGAGGGGGCAGATGATAATTTTCAATTCTATGGGGAGCCGAGCCCCTCTGGACTCCCCTTTCGTACGTCTATGGCAAGGGAGTTAAGCCATTGAAGTCGAGGATGCCCAGAAAGGAGCCTCTTAGCATCCGACAACGGAAGAAAATGAAACACAGTTACTAAAAATATCATTCTACGTATACTCAAAATCTTGAAAATCTCTAGAAAAGTAAGAAAAATTTTATAGTGCCCTGGCGTGTTTTTGAAACTTTATTCACCTTTTGCAGAATTTTTAGGGTAATTTTTTCACTTTTCCCTACGAGACAAGGGTTACACATGAATTCGTAGTGGTTTGTCACCTGCGTCACGGGCCCCTCTAGGGCCCGGGTCCCGGTACCAAGGACCCAGTACCCCCCCCCCCCTTGTGGCGGGCCTGGTGCTGTAGTATCGATTTTGAAGCAGGAAGCTCAAGTAAAACGCAAATTTCTTACGCACATTGTGAAGTTAGGAGTGCATGCCAATGAGCTCATAGTTACTTTTGAGTTGTTTTCCATAAGAATAAGCTTTTATTTTTGCTCCAACAAAAGTTTGCAATAGGCCAAATAATTGAAAATGCCCATATCATCCAACAAATGAATCAGTGAGTTCGAAAACACACCAACTCGGACTCGGAAAAAAAATATTGTTCAGGAAACACCTAAAACTGCGCAGCGGGTGAAGAAGTTAGTTCAAGAAAAACCTTTTCGGTGCCAAAGGACAAGTACTTAGAGACTTTGTAAAGCACCAAGTTGAAATCGATACACCATGTTTAATGACAGAGAATTAAGCGTTTAAAAATTTCCGAGTTGGTGTGTTTTCGTTCTCACCGACTTTCAGATACTGATTTTTCATAGTCTACCCTGAAAAATTTATATTTTTCGACCTGAATAATGCTTGAATATTTATATAACTTGTTGGTACAAGGTGTACTGAACCGAAAAAAGAAAACCGCAAAATCGGATGGTCACCCATTTCCCTTGAAATGGCCAAAAATTGGAATTTCCAATGAAACACTTCGATTCTTCCCTTTTCCCGTCGCTATTTCGAGCACTTCCGATTGCAATTTCGAAATTTCCTTTCGCGTGCAGATGCTACTATCCATAAGTGTTACTAAACCGTAAAAAAAGTGAATATAGAAAAAAATCCAAGTTGGTGTGTTTTTCGAACTCACTGATTCAGTTAAGCACGGTAGAGGACCAACAAAATTTGGCCCCAAACCGTGTATGAGCCCCATTCACGGCAATTGGAACGCGCTCAGAATCGAATGCCGCACGAAAGACTCTTTCTCACTTATTCTCTTGCTTCCTTGGTGCCTCTTTTAAAATAGGCATATCTACACGCATTCTTTTATGCGTCCTTCCTCAATTGCCGCTATACTTGTTTATCTTAACACCAGCGCAGCCAGTTTCCAGATAAAATCCCTTTAATATATTTTGCTGCCCAGGGTAAAATCGGGCATTGGTGAAAAAAATCAGAGTTGGTGCGTTTTCAAACTCACTGATTCAAATTGGGGTAGCACCACATTTTTCGGGGTTAACCCCTAATACTTGTTTTCCTTCGTAGGGACTCCGGTGGCGAAAGTTGACAGCAGCGGGACGAGAGGGAAGGCGCAAGCCGAGACGGTTCCGACGTTGGCGGGGTCTCGGCCGTCACGTCGGCTTAATTTGTCTAGGGGTCCCCGCGGGCATATTTTAAAATAATTGTCGACCGGAGTCGATCCCGACGTGAGCGATGAAACGTCAACATTTTTGGCAGCTCCCCTCCTCGTCTCGACCGGCTCTTCCGGGGTTGTCGCTGCCGTCGCCACCGCGAAAAACCCACCGACTCTCGGCCGCGTTGAGGAAAAACGCCGTATGAGCCTTCAGACGTTGCCAAATTTCCTTCGAAAAAACCTGAAATTACTGAGACATTTCGTCACCTTCCAGGCAAAGTATCACAAGCGCCATGCGACGTTTAAAAATTTCCGCCGCCATTTTATTTCTTTACTGAGAAATTGTTGGTTGAATCTGTTTGGAAATTTCACTAAATTTTATCGGCAGCACAAAGAAAATTCAGTGAAATTTTCGGACAGCTTCGTTGAACAAAATCTCTGTAAACAAATAAAATGGCGGCGGAAATTTTTAAACGTCGCATGGCGCTTGTGATACTTTGCCTGGAAGGTGACGATTTGTGAATATTTTTTTCTAAAATTTTCGGACGATTTTGTACGCAATTTTATCTAAAATATCTGCAAATTTCAAGGAAAAATGCAGTGGAGTGGCGTGCTTTGCGATACATCGATTAATCGGCCATTTAAACCCATGGAAAAGTATCGATAAACAGGGTGTTCGCAGCGAACACCTTAATAATCGATTATTTACCACAGCTTGAAATGGGGAAATATCGATAGATCGCAAAGCACGCCACGCCACTGGAAAAATGTGCATGAATGTCGTCAAAAATGCATATTTTACCGAGGGAAATTTGGCAACTCTCGAATGTTCATAAGACCTTCTTCCTTAGCACGGCAGCTCTGGAGCCGAGGTTCCAGATTTTCTCCGCTCCGGCACCCGGGCGTTTCGCCTCGTTTCATTTTTTTTTTTTTTTTTTTTTTTTTTTTTTTTTCAATGTCACCTGTCCCCACGGACGCGGCTTCTTAGGCGGTGCGAAGGGATGGGCCGTGACGTCTAAGTGCAGCGCACTGCACTCACCTTTGCCTCGTTTCGGAGCACTGTGAAATCGAGAGGAAGTTCGCCGCTCGCCGCACAGTGCATCGAGTCAATAGGGAAAGTCGGACAAAATTTGGAAACTCTAGACGCTTAAAACTCCGTTTATTCAAAATTTTAAGGTTCTCAAAGTGGTTCCATTGGTTTTTTCGTGAAATTTTTCTCTGGAAGCACCCCTTGAAGTTTAAAATGTGACGAAATAAACATCAAAATGTGCAATTTCAGTCAAAAATTGCATGTCTAACCTCTGTAATGGACTCAATTCACTGTGTGCCGAGGCACGCATGCTACCTTGAAAAAAGTGACCCTGAAAGCCATCCGATTTTTTTAAGATTCTCGTTGCGTTTAGGTGCATAGAAACAAAAACAATTTATTTATCGGTTGTTTCGGGGGAAAAGCATGCGCACTCATAATTGGACGTATTTATGCTGAAAGGAACTATGCTGCATGCAAACCCTATGCACATAGTTCCTTTTAGTATAAACACGTCCAACTGAAAGGCTTGGAGGCCACGGGGCATGAATGCAGTTTTTGACAAAATTGAGTTATTAATGCATTCAACGAAAACCAGTGATAAAATTCACTCTGTGAAAAACTCACTTCTAAGATACAATTTTTAAGCACCATAAAGGGAGTTTGAACTTTCTTTCCATCTTAAGGATGCATATCATTTTGAAACATGAAACATGTGCTTCTTGAAATAGCAGTAACTGCACACCTATGCGCCTTACCCTCCAAGCCTCTCAATTTATGAGCCAGTTATAAAATACGGAGCGCTGAATTTTGGTCTATCCGGACCCCTCCTTTTCTTCCTAATGCTTTCGTGACGCGAGTCCCTACCTTATAACACGTGGTGGGCAAAAACAAATTTTCGCGGCGTGACGCTCTCATCGGCACCCTTCCTTTCTAGCGCCTCCTTAGATTTGGACCGCGTTTAGCACACAAACAAATAGCGAAATAAACAAACGGAAACAAACAACATGGAAGTAAGGCGAAAGGAAAGATGCGCGTTTACGACGGCGCAGGGATACAACTATTCGTACTTGTTGGACGTCCGTGGTGCATCTGAAAAATTGAAGGCGTGATGACGCGAAGCGTGAACTCTCAATGCTCTGCTATATGCTGTCAATGAGGCGTCGCTCCGATTCGAGAGGAAAGTTTAAAAAGAGGCCCGAATACCCCTTTCCTGTCTCCGGCTGCAGTGTGGATAATCGTTCTATCTTCTTTTTCCAGGTTCTTGTCTGATTCTTTTTCAGGATGGATTTGCAGACCCACGTCTTAAACTCGTGTAAACCGCAGCACTGGCTCGGTTCTTTTGGAAATAATGGTGCTTGGATGCGTCTAGTGGCTTCAGTTTTTTATGTTTTCTTTAATTTCAGAAGTCTGTCGGTTACTTTAATACATTCCATTTTGCAATTTTCCCTCTGTACGATTAATAAACCTTGAACCTGAAAATAGGGTAAACTTGTGCTGCTTTGCCAAAATTTTCTGAACCCCTCTCCACGCAAGGGATGCCCTACCAGGAAAAATCACATTTCGCCTCTTTAACCAGCCAAGGGTCTACGCCCTTAGATGCGAGCCAGTCGGACCCTGGCGGTCCACACGTTAATGCGCTATGGATGGAGTTTAACAGACATACTTCGTCGTATCAAGTTTAAACCGGGTAAAAGATATTTGAAATATTATTCCTCCATGAGACTCAATGCCACTGGCGGAGTTTAGGGCATGCTTTCACGTTAAACTATATTTTCGCAACTTTGAAGATTTGACAGGGGTAAATTTATGAATTGTAGAATTCAAAGCTACTCCTAATTTATTTTTTTCCAAAATGCGATTTGGTGCCCTCCTATTAAACTCGGACCAAAATGAACTATGACATATCGGTGTAATACTCGAGGTATACGACGGCGTTTCGTCTTCAAATAGAATGAAGATAGGCAAAAGCGGACTCACAGGAGTTACAGTAGTCGCATGAAAATGGTGAGCGCGTTTTCGCGATCAAAATATTTCTTCTCGACTTTGAGCTTTTGACAGAAGAAAATTTACTACTGGTTCGAAAATCTCATTCATCTCTTCGACGATTAGACCCTTTCTTTAGACTCTTAATGTAGGTAGACTTCAGAGTGAATAAATACTTCGTTTTCACGAGTGTTAAATGTAGCATAAGACATATCTTACCTTGAAGGAGGCAAATGGTGGCTTGGTATTCGGCGAGTTTTTCGTCGACGTAATCCTGCGATTGGCTCGCGATGATCTCCGCGGTGGAGACATCGTCGGGTTCGGCGAGATTGGGGTTCAGAGGCCCCGGGGGCTCCAGCCGAACAGCCGCCATACCCCCCGCGGGGGGCGCCACCCCCGTCGGGTACGCCGCGTAGCAGTACTCCGGTTCCGGCCCCAAGGTTGGTGAAGTGCTCTGCAAAATTCAAAAAAAGAACGGATAAAAACGTTCGAAGTCACTAGAATATCTGTCGAAGGCAAATAGTAAAATCAGGCATTTTGTCAAATGCCTAGGCAAATAGTCAAACATTCTCACTTAAATTGAAATTTTGATTTTTTACCCTAATTTTAGACAAAATAATTCGTTGCTCTTGTAAGAAAGAATTCTCTGTAAAAATGTGTGGCGTAGAATAGTATTTTAAACTGTTTTTAGCTCCTGAACAAATATTTATGTTGAAAGTTACAGAATTTCGCATAGAACACATTTTTTTAAAAAAATTTTAATAATTGAAATTATGAAGATCGGTTGCAGAGGAAGAAACAAAGAAATTCCAAGGATTGAAAGAGTCATTTTTTCTAAAATATTGAAAACCTGTGAGCCTTCTTCCATTCTTCATGCGGAGATTATGAGGAGTGATGTTATGAGATGAGCACTGGAATGCGGGATTGTTCGATTGCATGCAGACTAAAACTGAAATTGCGACGAAGCCGATTTTACGAACTTTCCGCTAGAATCGGCTAACACTAAACCTCGGGGTCCAAATCCTGCCGTGCTGAGGAAAAACGCCGTATAAACATTCGAGACCCCGATCATCCCTCATTCCAAATTTTGCATCCTGATCAGATTTTTCCTCTTTTTCATGCAGAACCAAACCGTCATATGATAGTTTAACCATCTAGATTATCACCACGGCCGAAACCAGCCCCATGTGGGGTGTTGGGACGAAACGGGTGAAAATCGAAATCTAATGGGCTCTAATTTTGAACCCAAGGAAATGAGATGGTTAAATTGTCAATTCTACGCACAGATTTGCCACTTTTTCTCATGGTCAACAAAAAAAAAAAACGAAACAAAAAAAATTCGAGATGTGCCAAATTTCCTCCGATTAAATGCTCATTTCTGAAGAAAGTCATGGATATTTTTCATCGAAATTTTCAGAAACTTCGGATCAAAGTATGAATAAAATTCTTTGAAAAATTGGAAGAAAAATATTCGCAAATTTTTCCGGAAATTCATGATTTGTTAAGGAAAATTCGGCAACGTCTGAAGACTCATATGGCATTCTTCCTTAGCATGGCAGAATATTAGTATGAAAATAATACTTACGCGGCCGGCTGGGATGAGCGCTGGCTGGGGGTACTGAGGGGGTTGATATTGGGAGTTGGAGGGGTGGGGCGCCGGCCAGACCGGTCGTGGACAGGGGATGTACGGGAGGGGTCGCTTAGGGAAAGGAGAGGAGCTCCGTCTGGATGGTGACATGATCGGGGGCGGCGAAGGGATATAGACGGGCCTGAAGGGGGTCGGGGACTGGGGGTAGTTGTAGACGGGCGAGAAGGGGGCTGGGGATATTGAACCGGGGGTCCTGCCCCTGGACCCCCCCGGTCCTTGGCCTGCTCCCGCGTTTTGCCTTGACATCCCGCGCACGGAATAAGTCTCCGATCACCGTCACAACTTCATTTTAAAGCCCTGTCAACAGAAAACAATTCAGATTAAATACATGTCGAAATACATGCTCAACGTTGAAATACATGCCCGACGTCGAAATACATGCCCGACGTCGAAATACATCCACATATTTGGATTGCATTGTGCAAAAAGGAGCCACAAGAATTCCAGTGTTGCTAAGATTGTGCAACTTTGTTTACCTTGCAAATAGAAACTGATCATCTAAAAAAGTTTTATCTTCACTCTCTATAAATTATGAAATCAAGACAAAAATCACGTCGGTGAATTTAATTTTTGTCATGATTTCTGTAATTGTTTGCGAAAAAGTTAAGTTGTTCAATCCTAGCAACAATAGAATGCTCTTGGTTCCTTTTTGCAAAATGCAAATTTATCACAAACTGATTGCGGTGGACGCACAGGTCGTAAGATGGTATGTTGGAGTTTTTTTGCCAAAGTGCGTTAAAAATTCAGCATAAAGCTGAAAATCTCAATGCAGGGACTCGCTTAACTGCACTGAGGATTGGCCCAACAAGGCAGAAACGCGTCTGCAGTTGCCTTCCTGAATGGATGTAACTAGTGTTGCACCAACCAGCATACCTCTTGGAGGGAAAACTGTGCTCAAATGAACAATTTCCATTTGTATTGAGATTTTCAGCTTTATGCTGAATTTATAACGCACGTTGGCAAAAAACTCCAACATATTGTCAAATATTTAGCTCAAAAATAAATTAGTAATAATAAGTTGGACTCAGCAAGAAGGAACCAGGAGCATTGCAATGTTGCTAAGATTGTGCAACTTCATCCATTGCAATATAACTATTGAAATTCTGAAAAAAATTTAATTTTATATGGTAATTTTTGTCCTAAATTTACAGTTTTTAGCAAGTAAAATAAAAACTATTTATAGAGAATCAGGCCTTTCTTCCAATACAAAAGAAGCTGCATCATCTTAGCAAAATTGCAATACTCATGGTTCCTTTTTGCAAAATACAATCCAGTTTTTTTTTTTTTTTTTTTTTTTTTTTTTCTGCTGGTTTAATGGCTTCGTGTCTATTGCACCTTCAGCCAACTTTAGACAATGTTTAGTGTCCGTAGACATCAGGCTCCATGCTCCAGGCTTTTCTAATTTTCAGGGATTAGGGCCGAGGAGAATCTGTTTCAGCAGATCTACTCGTCAATTCCGTGAAAATTAGACGCCACCACCGGGATTCGAACCCGGGACCTATTGACCTAGAGTCAGACGCGCTGACCACTAGGCCAACCTGGCCGGCTACAATCCAGTTATCGATGCCCGATGAGAAGGCTAGGAGTAAAGAAAGGTGCGTTTACCCATGATAGTGGTGAACAGAGGTCCAATAATTACTTTCTGAAGCGTGAACCCTTTTCTGTGAAATTTTCACCTTTTTGTTGACATGTAGGCGCTTTATCATCCACCTCCCTCATTCGCTATGTATATAACTCCCTTAGAAGCTATAGTCGATTCGATTTTTAGACATACGTACACTTTATAGACCTCTTGAGAGACCTCTAAACATATTTTTTACTTTTCAAAAGGACTTTTGATTTGGACATACCAAAGCATATCTCAGGCAAACTTAACCTTAATTTATCTCGAAATTCAAAAATAAAAGACATCTACTCTTTTCTTTAAGCTCTGATACATGCTGCCAATGGGGTGTCGCTCCGATCCGGGAGAAAAAATAAAAAAAGAGGCCCGGATACAACTCTCCTACCTTGGCTGTGTTACTCACATAGAGCTTGAAGCACCATTACGAACAAGACAAACGGAAACAAACACAATGTGGAAATAAAGCTTGGGAAAGGATGCGCGTTAACAACGGCGCAGAGATACAACTATTCGTGCTTGATGGCTGTCCGTAGTGCATCTCAAAAATTGAAGGCGCGATGACGCGAAGCGCGAGCTCTCAATGCTCCACTAAATGCTGTCAATGAGGTGTCGCTCAGATTCGGGAGAAAAGTTAAAAAAGAGGCCCGAATACGTCTTCCCTGTCTCCGGCTGTGTTGATACTCGTTCTTTCTTCTTTTTTCAGGTTATTGTCTGATTCTTTTTAGGATGGATTTGCAGACCCACGTCTTAAGGTCGAGTAAACCGTAGCACGGGCTCGGTTCTTTTAGAAATAATAGTGCTTGGATGCGTCTAGTGGCTTTAATTTTTTTGGTTTCTTTAATTTCAGAAATCTGTCGGTTTCTTCAATACGTTAAATTTTGCAATTATTACTCTGTATGGTTAAGTAACTTTGAACCTGAAAAAAGCGTAAACTTGTGCTGCTTTGGCAAAATTTTCTGAGCCACTCTCCACGTAGGGGATGCCCTACCAGGAAATATCAAATTTCGCCTCTTCAACAAGCCAAGGGTCTACGCCCTCAAATGCGAGCCAGTCCGACCCTGGGCTCATCATTTGACGAGTTATTCAGTAAAATTAGACGTATAATATCTTCGATAGAACTCTATGAGCTGAGGGACGGATTCCCTCACGGTCAAGCACAGAAATTCGCTCCTCTGGCGTAAAGGCGTACCTCGATTCCCGGATGAGCCCCAAAACGCAAGGATATAGATGTAAAACAAGGCTCACGTAGATATTGAGATAAGCCCCTTCGTCAGAAGGGCGACGATAAGAGTAGCATCTCCTCTTTTTCCACATCATGTCAAGGTGTGACAGTGGCGTTATGTGCTTTGCGATATATCGATTGACCTGCCATTTGAACCTCAGTGGCGTGGCGTGCTTTGCGATCTATCGATTGTTATGTCATTTAAACCTACGGTAAAGAATCGATTATTAAGGTGTTCGCTGCGAACACCCTGTTTATCGATCCTTTTCCATAGGTTTAAATGGCATAACAATCGATATATCGCAAAGCACTCGACGCCTTTGTTGAACCTATGAAAAAAGATCGATGAATAGGGTGCTCGCGGCGAACACCTTAATAATCGATTCTTTACCACAGCTTCAAGTGGAGAAATATCGATAGTAATCGATCATTCACGTCTCGCCACTAAGGTGCGAGTCATCAACCGAGAAGAGCAAACACGGGGAATGTCCATGACATAGTCAAACAAAGGTGTTAACGTAAGAGGAGATGAATAACCTTTCCTCCGCGTCGAAAACCAGCGAAACGTAGCAGTGTAAACGATTCTAAAATGAAGCGCCAAGATTATCTAGAAGCTTTTTACCGTATCCTCTTCAAACCTTTTTCTAGGGTCAAAACGCAGGAACGAATTTTTACGAGGATTGTACGCGTTTTGATGACAATTGGACTTATTTCTGCCAAACGAAACTATGTGCATTATGATGTGAGCTTTATTATGCATATATTCTTATGGGTCTCAGGGCTCATGTCTTAATGCACACTGCCGTGCTAAGCAAGAACGCCGTAAATCCATCAAGATTTTTCCTCGTTTTTTGGAACTTAACACTTTATAAAAAAAATAAATGTTTTAACAATAATGCACCTCAAATTTTCAGGTTAAGTTCTTGATAGTATTTGCGAAAGAATTCTGTAATAACATTGTTCCAAGGTACACAAGTTTTTCTGCTATGATACGTTGTTTTCAAAAATTGTAAAATGGCGTTTACGGCGTTTTCGCGTTTCACGGCAGCACATAGTTCCGTTAGGGCAGAAACACGTCCAATTTGAGACAGGTATTGATGGCTAAAGTGACAAACCACATATCTCCATTGCGGTATTTAAAAATCTGTGCTCCTATTGTTTTTTTTTTTTTTTTTTTTTTTTTTTTTTTTTTTTTTTTTTTTTTTTTTTTTTATTATTATTATTATTTTTTAATTTCGAGGAGGAACGAGTCAACTCTCTAATTTGAAATTTGTACGGAATTTTCTGTTAATAAAGAAGAAAAACCAAGGAAAAAGGGGGAAATGGGAAGAGATGACCATGTTGTCAAAAATAAAATCTTTGCATGTCAATGCATATTTTGGACTTTAAAAGGTCTGTTACAGGACTTACGGGTTACAGAAATCGCATGATATACGAAAACTAAGTTAGGCAACCAATCGAGCGGTAAAGATGCTGCATGTGTGGTATACCTCATTATTTGAAGGAGAAACGTGGCGCTGATCGGATTAGACTCCGATCAGATGTAAGTATGCTGAAATTTTTTTCGCTCTCAAGAAAGGACACTTCGGATTAGATAACTTACATCACAAACTATTAAAACGTTTTTTTATTAGTTGTTGACTCAAGGAAAGTACGAACAAAAGGAGGAGAAACGTATTTTCGTCTTTTTCTGTTTGGTAATTTAGAGAATGAAATTGTATTCATGAAATGAATTTATTGTATCGTGGCAGTGACTGCCACAGATTTTCTCTAAAATTTTGATAACGAGACAGGAAATCTGCAGCATCGTAAGTCCGAAAACATATTTTTCTACTTTCATCAGCGATCTAAGCTTTACTCGGGATATCAGTCCCTTTTTCATAGTGCATTTATTTAATGATAAAGGAATTACTAAAACCCCGCCTAAAACTAGCCTCACTGATAAAAAAAAACCAAAACGGGTTTTTTGGTTTGCAACATTACAAGTTTACTGTCATACTTTTATCTTTTAACGGACGATCGAAAGGGTAACTGCGCGAATTTTTCGCTCTTTCAAAAGTATCTTCTGACATAATCTCATGCAGTTACCTGAAAAGTTCGTAAAAACACAATCGGAAATTTTAAACAGTGCAATTGGGATAAGGATTTTTCAACTGTAGCCATCGATGTATGGGTTACATTTTGCAAAAAGGAACCACTATTTCTCGCCCATTTCAGAAACAACGTACATGCCATTGATTTCCCTATGCAGATATGTGCTTATGCGAGAGAGCCAGAGATAGTGGTTCCTTGTTGCAAAATGGTTCCTTATGGTTATGGTTTCCTTGTTCCATATCGTGGAGTAAATTTTTCCACTCTATCCCTGTTCCACGGTTCTCTGAAGTACCAACCCTAGTGAAATCACAACCCCTAAGTAAGGCACATTGGCTCTTATCAAAATTGACAACCGAA